AGGCATGTACATATGTAAACATATTTATAAAGGATGATGGGGAATAGATCTATGTGCACATACTTATAGGTTTAGTATTAAATGAGCAGATAGACATTGGGTCTCCACTAAAGTACTTCCTCAATGCAAGAAAACCTTGTTCTATTAAATTGGCATTCCATGATGCACACTTTCCCAACACGATTGCTGAAGACAAATGTGTGCATAAGCAAATGTGGCAAAGAAAGTTGATGGTGCCTGGCTATCAAAAAATACAGTGTCTGGGGTCTTAAAGGCTTGCAGGTAAACACGCCGCCATCTAGCTCAGAAGCAACAAAGCCCACAAGGAAGAAGCACACTAGCCTGTGTGACCACTCAGGTGTTTTTATACTAACAATTCTGAAAAAGAGTCAAAATTACAAAGTGATAAGTATTCTGTTTTTAAAATATTATTTTCCATTTTATTGTTTCTAGGGGACTTGTCTCAGACCAGAAGGTTGTCTGAATCTCTTAAAATAGGACATGCATCACACCATTCAAGTTGCAGTCGACATACAATAGGATCCCATCCCTTTTTGCTTGTCTAAACAAGATATTGCCAAGGTCTTCATTTTCCTGTCATTACGCATATATGGCTGTAATGAAGTGAGGAGGAAGGTGGAAGGAGAAGTTTTGCAAATGGCAAAACAGAGGCAACAAAGGCTGAGAAGAGAGGCTAACTAAACTGTTTAAGAATCATTCACTGAAGTAATCTTCCAGCCCCGCCATATCGATATCCAGAGAGGAATTTAAAGCGGCGACAGTAGCGGAGGCATCCTTGGCTTTCGGAACACTTGGTTTTGGTTGGGGAGTTTCTGGCTGGATAGATTCCTTCTTGATGTCTTTACCACCATTTAGAATCCGCTGGCTCTCCACAAAGAACTGATTAGGATGATTCAAAGAAAAGCCACAATCATCAACCTGTACAAGAAAGCAAATTAATATTGCATTAATATATAGCAAAAATATACAGCTAGAGGTTTCAAAAACTGCCCCAGCCCTCATTTAAAATCTATTTTCTTACCTCAGATATGGATCTTCTTTATAACCCTCAATCAGTCACTTAAAGTGTATAGTATTCCGGGAGCTTCAACCTACCTAAATCTTATTAACTCGCAAATTCCTATTTCCAACCTAAACTTAGTTCCCAATCCAACTCTAGTTCCATATCCATCTCCTACTCAGCAGTGTGAGTGGCGCAAAGCAGATCAAACTTGACAGGAAACTCATCCTTCTCCCTCTTCTCTGCCCATGGCCCTCAAGAACTGGTATTACAATTCATTCTATGGGGCCTCCTGGACTTTAACTCCTTGACCTCTCCATCCCCGACATCCCTTCCAACCCATGCTCTCAACCTGGCCATATACAAACTACTAACAAGTCTTATTGACTATTACCTCAAAGTACAAAGTTGAAAAAGTTAATAAAAATATGTCTGGGAAACACACCTGTGTGTGTGTGTGTGTGTGTGTGTGCCACAATGGGTGTAAATGTAAATGGCGCTGATAAGTCCTATAGGAAAAAAATCAAGGATGGTGAGACTTTATCTCATGTACTTGGGCATCTTGTCAGAAGAGATCAGTCCCTGGAGAAGGAGGGGCACTTTGTTCGGTAACGCAGAAGCACCGTGAAAAGAGGAAGGTCCTGAGTAAGAGGTACTGACATGATTCCAGCACGGGAACGACTGTGAGGAGGGCACAAGGCTGGCAGCGCTGTGTTCTGGTGCGTATGGGCTTGCTGCGGGTCAGAATGGACTTGATGGACCCAACAACTACAACAGGACAAAGATAGCTAGGTTCTAATTTCAACCTAATTATTACCTCAAATACTACTACTACTATGTTTAGGATTTAACTTCTAATATCATTTCAATTATAATGACCCATAATTCTGTAACTTTAACACCCAATGAACCGTTTTGGGGTGTCAATCACTTTAGTATTTGAAGACTCAGCAAGCACTACTTTACTTTAAACACCGAATAAATTTAATGCCAACTAGATCCCAGACATTGTGCCACACATCACAAATACACACACACACACACACACACACACACACACACACACACACACACACACACACACACGCTCAGTTAATCCTCACTGAAGGAAGATTATCCATATTATCTCAGTTTTTCAAATGAAGCATCTAAGGAAGAGAAAAGTAATTTGTCCAGGATCATACACATTGGGAGCGCTAGAAAGGGCAGACGAATTTCCACGTCAGTGCTCATAACCAGTATACTTTTGTACTGCAGTCACTCATTAAAGCTTGCTATCTTTCCTAATAACTTGGGGGTCTTTAATTGGGGTAAAAGCAAAATATAAAAGCTAAATTTCGCATACAAAGACATTTTTCCCTTTTTTAAAAATCATTTTATTGGGGCTCATGCAATTCATCACAATACATA